ATCAGCAGTGATGAAAGTCTTCCGGGGCGGAGCGCTGCAGCCGAATGAGCTCTACACGCTTAATGAAAACATCAGGTGACATCATCATCATCATCATCATCATCCTTGCTCTCGTCCTATTTCGCTTTCTTGTCTTCCTGGCGGCCATGTTGGTCGAGTTTGCCTGATGCGTGGCGGCCATGTTTGCTGTTCTACAGGTGGCTGCTGAAGAGTGAGATGGGCTCCTTTGTCACAGACTACTTGCAGGTCTGTTACAGTATTGTTGTCCTCGCGACAGGAAGTGTGGCAGCGGAGACAGGAAGCTGATCTGTTGTGCATTTGCGTCTTCAGAATCGTCTGCTGACGGGCGGCCTGACGGAACTTCTAGAGCGCATCTTCGTTTCTGGTGAGGGGGAGTGGTGGTGTCGGCTGTTGGCACAGTAACCTCATGCATGCCCCGCCCCCTAGGTGGTGAGCAGCTGGCGGCGGTGAGCGAAACGTGGCGACGCTTCTTCACTGAGACGCTGCCCACCCTGCAGGCAATCTTTTACCCGCTACAGGTGATGCCATCATCGAACGCGCGCCTCACTTCCTGTTTGGATCAACGCTCGCTGACTCGTGTGTATGCATGCGCATGTATGTGTGTGTGTGTGTGTGTGTGTGTGTGTGTGTGTGTGTGTGTGTGTGTGTGTGCGTGCGCGCGTGCAAAAGAATGTGTTTTTGGATTGTGTGTGTGAGTCTGTGTGGGTCTGTGTGTGTGTGTGTTTTGTTCGTGTACCTGTGTGTACTTGTTTGTGTATATGCATGTGAGTTGCTGTGTGAATGTGCGTGCTTCCCTGTGTATGCCCGTATGTAAATGTATGTTCGTGTACCTGCCTGTTTGTGTTTGCATACCGGTGTGTGGGTGTGGGTGTGGGTGTGGGTAATCGTGCGTGAACGCAGGGTCAGGAGCTGTCGGTGCGACAGATGGCCCTGTTAGCCTTCCGAGACTTGGTGCTGCTGAAGCTCCCGCTGGAGGACAGTTTGCAAAGCGCGGAGAGCGTGCCACCCACGATCACGCACATGTTGCTGGTGCTGCAGGTCATCATCATCGTCATCATCATCGTCATTCATGAATGAATGACATAATGTTGTCGTCTGCTAGCCTCATGCTAACATTTAATGTAAAACGCCCTAGACAGGGTTACCGAAATTAGCATTTTCAAATCTTCAATTTAACAGTAGCATCAAAAAATGAAGCGCAACATCGCAGGGTGTCACTTTAATGCATGTCATGTATTTCCGCATGCATCCTGTAGGGGGTCCGAGAGTCTGGCGCAGAGTCCAGCTCACGTTACCGTCATCTGGAGCACCTGACGGCCATGGTGGTGTCACCGTACCTCAGCGACCTCGTCACCGTGGAGCTCCAGCCCTCGGGTGCGTTGTGATTGCCGATCTAACAGCATATTGGCTCGTTAGCAAATTAGCACGTTTCCAAACAGTGACGCTAACTCTCGCGGCAGGCCACATTTTTCTAATGACTAGACCCTCAAGAAGGAGTGAGTTGTACTTTTCTAAAGACCAGCCTCTTTCAAAGAACCAGATCCTCACTAATGATTTTACCGCTTTCTAAGAACCATACCCTCAATAGGAACTTTAATAACCGTGATCTAAATAAAAATTTGGACCTTCAATGGTCTCAACACTATCTAAAAGGGCGGAGCCTTTACTCGGTGACAAGACCAACCTTAATAAGGGCCAAATTTATGGCAAGACCTGGACCCCCAAGAAGGTCTGACTTTATTAACAACCACACGCTCAATAAGGAGCAAATCCTTTTTCAGAACTGGACCCGTGATAAGGACCGGATGTCTTCGCGACTCTACCCTTAATTAGGGACCATCACTTTATTAAGACCCAAACCATGAACAGAACCCTCATTAAAGACTGGAACTAGTTTCGCTTCACTAACAAGCAGTCTCTTTGTTTTTTTTTAAGGACAAGACCCTCAATAAGAGGTGGAACTTCACTAACGACCAAGCCTTCAAAAAGAACCACACCCTCAACAAGGTTCAGACCATTGCCCAACAAGAACCAGATCGTTATTAAGATCCAGGATATAAATTCAAACTGGTTGGCTGGCATGAGATGGGTTAGCAATGCTGGGCCTTGCCACGCTACGGAGATCGTCGCATTTCATCGTAAGAGGCTAGGCCGTCAGGAATGTGTTTGTGCTCATTCCTGGAAGCAAAGGACACAAATAAACTAAAGAGGATCACAAGCACAAGATTAAAGTCTTAATGCCGCTCAGGTTTTTACTTTCAACACTTCCTGCCCAGCACGAACGAGTCCTATTGAATGTCCTGTCCTTTGGTCGCATCTGGTCCTTATTAAGGGTCTACTTCTTATGTAGGTTCTGGGCCCCCCAACCCCAATCACCATTGAGTTGTACTTTTCTAAAGACCAGCCTCTTTCAAAGAACCAGATCCTCACTAATGATTTTACCGCTTTCTAAGAACCATACCCTCAATAGGAACTTTAATAACCGTGATCTAAATAAAAATTTGGACCTTCAATGGTCTCAACACTATCTAAAAGGGCGGAGCCTTTACTCGGTGACAAGACCAACCTTAATAAGGGCCAAATTTATGGCAAGACCTGGACCCCCAAGAAGGTCTGACTTTATTAACAACCACACGCTCAATAAGGAGCAAATCCTTTTTCAGAACTGGACCCGTGATAAGGACCGGATGTCTTCGCGACTCTACCCTTAATTAGGGACCATCACTTTATTAAGACCCAAACCATGAACAGAACCCTCATTAAAGACTGGAACTAGTTTCGCTTCACTAACAAGCAGTCTCTTTGTTTTTTTTTAAGGACAAGACCCTCAATAAGAGGTGGAACTTCACTAACGACCAAGCCTTCAAAAAGAACCACACCCTCAACAAGGTTCAGACCATTGCCCAACAAGAACCAGATCGTTATTAAGATCCAGGATATAAATTCAAACTGGTTGGCTGGCATGAGATGGGTTAGCAATGCTGGGCCTTGCCACGCTACGGAGATCGTCGCATTTCATCGTAAGAGGCTAGGCCGTCAGGAATGTGTTTGTGCTCATTCCTGGAAGCAAAGGACACAAATAAACTAAAGAGGATCACAAGCACAAGATTAAAGTCTTAATGCCGCTCAGGTTTTTACTTTCAACACTTCCTGCCCAGCACGAACGAGTCCTATTGAATGTCCTGTCCTTTGGTCGCATCTGGTCCTTATTAAGGGTCTACTTCTTATGGAGGTTCTGGGCCGCCCAACCCCAATCACCATGATCATTTTTGTAGGAATGGTTCTGTTTGAGGTCCTGGACTTTAGTGAAGGTCCATTTTAAGCTTATGTCAGGTTTTTTAGGCAAGACACTACACAATTTTCAAACTCATTTGAGACAAAATGTGAACTTTTTACTGCTGAAAACTGCAATAAGAGTAAAGTATCCTTTTAATAAGGTTCTGGTTCTTAGTCAGGATTTGGTAGTTACTGAGGATAAAAGTTCTGCCCTTGCGGAGTAGTCAGTTCTCAGTGAGGGTCTGCTTCTTCAGGGTGTGTTTCTTAGTATGGGCTCAGTTTTTATTGAGAGCCCTGTTCTTGAGCCTCCAGTTTTTATTTAGATCCCGGTTCCTCATAAAAATGTGAGCCTTAATGAAGGTCTACTTGTTCTTGAGGGCTTGGTCCTTAGTAAAGTTCAAGTCCTTACTGAGGGTCGGGTCCACTCTGGATTATTGAAGGGTCTGGTCCTCAGTAAAGCTTCAATCCTTGCTGAGAGTGCCATTCTTCAGAAGGGTCTGGTTCGGAGTCTTGTTGTTGAGAAAGCTTTGGTTCATATTGAAGGTTCTATGATTCTTTTTCAAGACTTGCTTCCGACAGGGGTTCTGGTTCTTAGTAAGGTTTGAGTTTGTTTGTGCTGTTTGTTTTGTGTTCAGAGTGCTGCGGCAGCGGTCTGCCCTGGTTGCTCGGTGATGGATCCTACACCGACGTGTGCTCGTCATTGGCGCCCCTGGTGGAGCATGACGGCGAAGCCTACCTGGAGAAGGCGGGCGGTATGCGGCGCCACACGGTGGCCAACGCACATTCTGACGCTCGTCTGCTTACCGGCAGAATGCGCTGCAGCATGGCAGTGGGCGGCGGCGGCAACGCCGCCGACGGCGGTGCCCGACCCGGCGGCGCCAGCGCCTGCGCCAGACACTTTGGCAGCCAAACCAACGTCAAGCACTCCTAGCGATAGCGGCTAGCGCGGGAAGTACACTCAGACCGGACAGGACGTCCAAGTGCGGGACACTGCAGTTGTTTACAAAGTAAAACGCCATGCTTTCTGCTAATGAGCTAGCTGGCCAACACAGCGTAGCGAACAGACAAGGTGATGAATGAGATGAGAGTCAAGGATGAGAGCGATGAAAGATGACATGAGGACGAAACATGAGAAGATGAGGATGAAAAGCAATCTTGAAAAATGAGAACAGGGCAAAGCAAACAGGAAGCAAAATTTAAGCAGGACTCCCAACGAAATGTCTTCCATTTTGACTTTGTACTTTTTCCACAGTAAAAGAGCCTCCACGCTTGCCGACAAGTTTCCTTTATTGTGAGAGAATCTTGAGTGACAGCCTGCATTTAACATTGAACTTTTACCTCTGACCGCAGAGTGTTGCAGTGTAATCAGATTACATAGTAATCCCGTTATGATAATTAAATGACAGCTCGCAGTCGCCCTGTGCGAAGTGAATGGTGCGATGTTACACCGACTTCATGTCATCGTGATGTGTGGTTGCCATGGTGATTTGTCATCTTGTGTCCTTCGATCTTACATCTTCGTGCCACGTGTTTGTGTTTGTGTTAGTAGTGTGCATATGTCCAGAGTTGTTGACAAGTGTCATATTGCCATGGCAACCAGGGCTCAGGTGCGCCCCTGGAGGTCAGCGCCCCACAAGCCTTGTGATTGGTCATCCAGCAGGGCAGGTGTGATTGGTCAGCCAGCAGGGCAGCTTGGCACCACCAACACGCGCCTTTCAGGAACAGTTGCAACTTTCCGTTACCAAGACGACTGCGTCGTTTTTTGTTGGTGTGTGTGTGTGTGTGTGTGTGTGTGTGTGTGTGTGTGTGTGTGTGTGTGTGTGAGAATACCTGTGTGTGAGGAAGCTGAGTTGTTGCTCGAGGCAACGCACTCTGAAGGCCAGATAACAGGATGACAACACTAACGCCAACACGCTGCACAAAAATAAACCCGCATTGTGTGTCATGTTGGATGTCAACCAACAGGTGGCAGTAAACCTCATAGAAACGACCCTTTATGATGAGAAATGTTTGCGTGCGTGTTCATGTATTTTAACGTGTCACTGGGTGAATGTGTCCCGAAATCTGTGCTTTAACGGAACGTGTGAGTTCATGTGCACATTACCGTGTGTGTAACTACGTGTTCAAGTGTGTGTGCTTTCGTCGGTTACTGTTTGTTTGCCTTTCAACGTCGTTGTTCATGTACAGGTGTGTGCCGCTGTGTTCATGTGTGCGTGTTCTCACAGCACGATGAAGACTTTCAGGAAGACGATGGTGTTGTCCACTTTTGGATCTTGTTCAAGCTTCACCGCTTCCACACTTTTGTCTGAACGCACGACACGAGCACGCGAGTCAACGTGTTTCACTTGGTGAGGCGGGATGAGGTTGACAGGTGGGCGGGCTTACCGGCGAGGGCGTGCACGGCGAAGGGCGTGTCAGGGGCGCGGCTAGGGGCGGAGTCTCCCAGCAGATCAGGAAGCGAAGACGCGACGAGAGGATGCGACGGCTTCCCGGTCCATTGGAGAACTTCGGGAAACTCGTCCTGACGCGCGCACATAAGCGCACAAGGACGCGCGATGACGTCACGTGTGGGGAAAATGGCCGCCGCTACGATGTGACGTTTGTGTTTACCAGCGACAAAGACGCACGCTCCTCCAGGAACTCTTTCACACTCAAACTCTTGCCGTTCACCTGAGAAGGCGATTGAGATGCAACATGAAAGCAGAACTGAAAGATGACAACATGACAGTATGGGAACAAACAATTAGCATATGAGGATAAAGACTATCTAATAAGAAGAATTGAGGATGACAGATGAGAGCCCGAGGACGGCCGACGAGAAGCGCGGGCGTGCAATTCCCCAACTCGCCTGCAGGTGGGTGCAGATCCTCCTGAGAACGTCGTAGACGTTTTCTCTGGAAAGCAGCGACGCAAACACGTACTGCACGCACACGAACACGACACAGTTGCGCCACCGTCGTCACACACGTGGAAAAGAACGTGCCGATGACCAGTGATTCGAAGCCCCGCCCATCACACCTTCTGGCCCGTGTCCATGGTGATGGCCAGGCCGTTGGGCACCAGGCCGGCCGTTTTGTGCTTCTTCACCAGTTGCACCGAAACCACCGGAAGACACACCTGCGCGCCAGCACACGCACAAGCATCAACGCGGAGGTCAGACACACGGGACGGCCCGTGACTCCGCCCACCTTGATGTCCTTCCCGAAGAGGTTGGCGTAGAAACACAACCAGTTCCTGGAGATGAACAGTCGTCCTTGAAGGAGGATGTCGCGCAGCAGCGCGCACGAGTAAACTACTCGAAGAAAGCAGACGGGCGCGCGCACACACAACTCTCCGAAATTAAACCCTCAACACTGACATTAAAGATTCAAGCAAAACGTACCTTTCATTAAGATCTCATCTTTCGGGACCAGCTCAAACAGTTTGTGGTACTGACTGTTGTACTTGTTCACTGTCTGGACGAAACAAAAAAAAACAATGACAGCAACACCGACAACAAGGGCGACAATGACAGTGATCACCACAAGGTACCAGTAGCAGGCTGAGGCCTGACCTGACACCATACCACCTGACAACAATAGCAATGACAGCAGCAGAAACGCACATCATTTACAAGGTATAACGGGAGGGGGCGCAAAGTATTTGATTTTTCTTGCGGTCATTTGACCCTTTTAGGCCTTCTATTAATGTGTATTTCTTCGACGTCGGGGCTTCTCAAACGTTTTACCACCTCAAAAAAATGAATACGAATAATGAAAATGTGTTTTAAAAAAAAGATGAACCCAAACTGCACCTATATAAAAGTTGAAAACGAAACAGATCTTCGTGACTGAATGTCTGGAGAAATCCAAGCCAAGTGGACGTCTTCTACATTTCTCAAGCGCACCACAAGAGGGAGCCATAGTCCCACTCGGAGCAGACTTACCAACACTCGTGACGACTGTTGCACAATTCTTTTTTTCTTTTGGCTTCACAAGAATGAAATTAATATTTACTTTACAGCAATCGTGTTGTAAAAATCCATATGAATGTTTTGGTTATTTTCTTCAAAGAATGAGCCGGTCCGTGTTTCAGTTGTACAAATCAAGCACGATCGTGAAGTTGAACGGCATCATTTTCATGACTTACTGATCCTCTGTAACACTTTTTCACATCCTCGGTGGACAAATCGTCGACCACGTGCACCCTGACAAACACGCACACACACACACACACACACACACACACACAAAATGTAAGTGCCTGCATGCCAAAGAGGTCGCTGAGACAAAAAAAAAAAATGAGCACGCAAAGAAACAATTTGTGTTAGTGCTCAGTTGTTTTGTGTGTGAGAAGAAAGCGCGCATTGTGCGGCCGCCAGGGCCGAGTTCTGCTCCAGCGCGGCCTGCCTGCGACAAACAAAGCGGCGCCTCTCACGCGAGTGAGCCAGTCAAACAACATTCACCGCAAGATATACGCGCGGCCTTTGGCTGGCGCCCGGCATGGTCCGGTCCGCTTCCGGGGCGGGGCGTTCCCGGGAGAGGTCGCAACTGATCTGACACCCCAATGAGGACAAAGGCACGACAAAAGGAGGGAAGGATGAAAAGGGGGGCAGAGGGGGATCACCTTCGTACATGTCTCACCCTGTCTGTCTGACCCTGCTGGACGAAGAGGAGGGCAGGAGGTCCCGATTTTAAAGCCCTATTTTGAAACCCAAAACAAAGCTTAAAACCCAATTTTAAAACCCTCATGTGAAACTGTACTTTGAAAAAAAAAACATTCTTTGCAACCCTAACCGCAGTTTAACACCCTATTTTAAAACCCCAACACGACTTGGAACCCTTACTGCATGTGAAACTTTACCTTTAGCATAAGCTTGAAACCCTACTATTGCCACCCTAACCCTAAATTGAAACCCAAACCCCAGTTCAAAACCCAACGATGAATCCCTATTTTGAAACCCTAATCCGTTTAAAACCCTTATTTGAAAATCTAATTATAGAATCAATCTCTACTTTGAAACCCTAACCCGAGTTTAAAACCCTACTTTGAAACCTTATCTTTAATTTGAAACCAAACTTTCAAACCTTTACCCTAACACAGTGGTTCCCTGGGGCGAACGAACGATGATGCTTCCCCTGGAAAAGAATTAGATCAGCGACTAGAACACAGTTACACGCACACACACGCGCGCGCGGTTTATCACTCTTAATTCCCTATTGCGCATCCATCTTCTTGATTGTGACCTTTCAAATTAATAGCAAGAACTCTCTTTGGCAAGCACGTGCCTTAAAGGTAGGGGGCAGTGGCTGTCGTCTTCTCTGGGGGGCTCCATCATCTCGTGGGTGCTTGGCACGCCGAGGTCATCACTCTGCTCCAACATGTCCGACGCGGGCTTGAAAAGTCAGAAGACAATCGATTTAAAAAAATGGTTTGAGGGGCGCGTGTCGCTTCCCGGTGTCGTGGACGAAGGCGCAACGTGATTGGTCAAGTGAATCAAATGAAAGCGAATGACCCTTCGGTCCGTTGCCACGGCAATGCTTCGGAGCTCACGTGGATGATTGCTTTCGTGTGTGTGTGTGTGTGTGTGTGTTAAATCGCATGGGATGTGCTCGTGCTGGCGTTACTGTGGTAACCGCGCTTCTTTTCCACTTTATGCAAAGCGCACAAAATCGATTAAAATGTGCTCTTTTAGAAATAAAATGACGATGACAGTGCTAAATGTTGTGTACTACTTTTAGTTTTTTTTTCCTCTGACATCGAAAAAGGAAATTCGTTTTCTAAAGCCCAACATTTTTTTGAGCACCGATGTGCAAGTATAAATTTACGGCTTTTAGTCCCGTACCGACAAAGCTTGCTGAAGCTTTATTTATTTCCATCTTCATATTACCTGAGCTCCGGCGCGGAGTTCCCTCACCACCGCCGGCGTGTTTCCATGTGCTGCCGGACGTCCGCCGTCCTCCGGAATTCTTGCTCTCAGCTCGCGTGTGACCGCTAAAGCACGAAGGAAGCCACCTGAAGCAGCCTTCAAAATAAGAGCCTAAAATGACGACTACGCAGGAAGCGGGAGGATTCGAAAATAAAACAGTTGATCGGACTTGAAGAATGACGATAATGAAAAGTGCAGCAGCAGCTTCTCCGTGCGGCCACTCAGGTTCATTGCAAACAGAAATTGATAATTCACTTGCCAGTTTGGTCCATAATATTTATCAGAAAATAGGCAAAAATGTTGACGATCATTGTTGTCAATCGTAAAATCAAATGTTTGCAAATGTCTTATTTTGAAAAACGCAACGATCATCAACAGGCAGGCCACAGCTTTTATTGAGCGCTTGCCGGTGACATCACAGTGATGCCATTGAGGAGGCGGGGCACCCATGTGGTTGGTCCAGCTACATGGTTTTAATATGATCAACAAGTGTAGAAAAACAACAGAGACACTCACAAAAAGAAAAAAAAAAGAAGAGTAGGAAACAAAACAGCATCCAACCTCTTAAAAATTATTCCTCTGTACACTATTTACACGCACACGCTTGCGCGCGGACGCTACAGCTACACACCGAGGGGGAGGAGGCCTGCCGCCGCGGCCGTTCCGTGTGAAGGCTGCACTTTTGATAGAGGCTCCGCGAGGTTTCTTCTTCTTGCTGTTTTGGGACGAGCGGCGAGGGAGGTGAAGAGAAGGAGCGGGAGGTGGATGACGAGGTTCCGTCCTCCGAGCGTCACGCTGTCCGGGGGTGGCGGGGCTAGCGTGCCGCCCGCCCATCGTCCTCCCTCATCGCGGCGACTGCATCCTTGCGCGATCCGGTCACGCGATTCCAGGCGGGGCCCGGCGGCCGCGAGCCCTTCCTCACCTGCGCGGGGGCGGGTACATGGACGGCGCCGACGCTTGCTGGCTGGCCACCATGGCCGACGACGACAGACCTGCCGGACGCACAAAGGCGAGCGTGACGTCACAAGCTGGCTCGCCAAGTTGGGCTGACGACGTGAGAGGAGGAGACGGTTTCGCATGCCAAAACAAGGAAACAAGGAAGGGAAGGAGGAAAGAAACAACAGAAGGAAATGAAGGAAGAAGACAGTAAAAAGGAAGGATAAAGGGACAAAAATGAAGGAAAAAAAAGGACGCATAGGCAGAAATGGGGACGTCAAGAAAAAAAAATGAAAACAAGCAGGAAAGGAAAAAGGGGAATAAAAAAAGGAAGAATGAAATCAAGAAAATGTGAAGGAAAGGACTGAAGGAAAGAAGGCATTAAGGAAGGTAGGAAAGTAAAGGAAGGATGGAATAAAAGGAGGAAAGGGAATGAGCAAGGAGAAAGCAAACAAAGAAGGGAAGGAAAAAAGAAATCAAAGAAAGCAAAGCAAGGAAAGAAGGGATCAGGTGAAGGAGCGAAGGAGATGAAGAGGGGAAGGAAGGCAAAAAGAAAGGAAGGAAGCCGGGCGCCGTCACCTGAGGCATAGGCGAGATCGTACTGTCCGGCGAGGAGCGGGTAGGCCAGGTGGTGATGGTGGTGGTGGTGCGAAGGGGGCGGCGGCGGCGCGCGCTGGGCGGGCGACGAGCGCGGCCGCTCGCCGTCTCGCTCATGCAAGGCGCTCTTGTCGGGTAGCGCGGTTGGCGACTTGCTCTTGTAGTGGCTGGCGTGTTGCTGCAGGAGCTCCAGCGCTTTGGCCTCGCCGCCGGCCGCCTTCACCGTGGGGCTGGAACGCGACGCCTTCTCGCCGCCCTCCTCGCCCGCCGCCGCCTTGCCGGCGTACGGCGAAAAGGAGTAACCAGCAGGGAGGTAGGAGCCTGAGGAAGCATGCGCGGGGGGGTTACGTGGCCTTTCTTGGGGCTCGTCTCATTTTTTTTTGTTGTTGTCATGTCATTTCTTTCCCTCCACTACACATTTGTCGTTTTTCACCATAATTTTGTTGTTTTCATCACATTTTTGTTGGTCATCTACCCACTGAAATGAATAGCAGCTGTCGGGGTTATTTTCAAGGTGTTTCGCTTTTGGCGAGCGTTACGGCTAACGTATTACGTCACTGTCGGAACGAGGCGTGGCGTGAACATGAACATACATTGGGCGGCGGGGCAGGTGGGGTTCTTTTATCAACCCCCTGCTCGGCCCTGCCCCCTGTCGTGTCTTTGATTATTTGTGTTTCGACATGTCTTTTGGTATTTTGTCCATATCCGTTGTATCAGAATTGGGGGTTTATTCTGGCTTTCTTTGTTGGTTTTTTTTCCGTCTCTGTGGCGTTTTAGTCATCTCATTTGCCCCCCCCCCCCGTCATGTCTTATTGTTTTCATCATGCCTTTGTAGTTTTATTCTCTTTGTTGTATTGTTTTATGGCAGCATTTTGACTGTCTTTGTTGTGTTTTGGTTTGTCATTTTATCACGTCGTTTTGATTTTGCGTCCTAATCGTGAGTTTGTCTTCATTGTGCCTTTTTGTGGTTTCCTTGCCGTCTCATTGTGGCGTTTTTGAGTCTTTCTTGTTTTGACGGTGCCGTTTGTCTTGCGTCGCAGTTGCGTTTGATCATCTTTTTTAATTTATCCGCTGGTGTTGGTTATCGTCCGTGTGCGATCACGTCTTTGCGTCGTTTTTAGAGAGTTTGGAGTCGCTCAAGAGTGTGTTTTGATGGCGCTCGGATGCGGTCAAGCGGCAGTCGTCGCGGCGACAGGTGGTCTTACCGGGGTAATTCTGCATCATGACGGAGGGCACGCCCCTGTAGCCGGGGTGCCCGGGATGCCCGGGCTCGTAGGCCTGCCCGTAGGCGTAGGGTCCGTGCATGTAGGGCATGTAGCCCTGGTGCTGCGCCAGCGGGGCGGCAAACTGCACGTGGGTGGGCCGCGCTTCCTTGGCGGCGGCCCTCAGCTGCTGGTGCTGCTGCTCCTCCGGGGGCCCCGGCCCCCGGCCGTCCGCCCCCTCCTTGGCCTCGTCTTTATGCGAGCCCTCCTTCGGCCGCGAGCGCTCCTCCTTCAACTTCCTGTCACGCTCGTCCTCCTGCGCCTTGGGCGCGTCCGAGTACTTGTTGGGGTACACGTACGGCCAGAGGCGGGCGTCGGGCTCCTGCCGGGAGAGGGCAGCGCTTAGGAGGGACAAACGGCAGGTGGACTGAAGAATGAAATCATTATTTGTTCAATGCATTTTGGAATTCCACGTTTTTTTCAAATTGACGGCGCGTAAGATCGACGGCCATCAATTGACGTTGATCTGTCATAAAGTTCCGAAAATCTGCCCAAAATGTTTCCCGAAATGGAAACAATCAACACAAGAGCCAAGGGAAGAAGATTGACTGTTGAGAGACTGAAATTCCAAGCTTTTAATCAACCTTTTGGAACGCAATAAGCTCTCTCAACAATGAATCGATCATCAAAACGTTTGATTGATGTGATCATCGTTTATATATATATA